GAGCAAGATTGGAAAACTAATATCATTAAGTAAACAAGAAAAATTATTAATGATGTAAAAGTGTTCAAAAGAACCCAGTTGATTAAATGAAGAATCTTTACGGATAATTTTTGAAGATCATATTAAAATGTAATTGACCAGCATACTTAGCTAAAAAAATTCTTTTTTCCTTTCGAAATTTAATTCATATTCCCCCGACGAGAAATTTCAGGGCTTTTTCAATTTGACCAATGTACACCAAACAGCACAATAGATATCACACAATGCTAAATTATCTCAATGATTAAAAGCACATATGAGATCTTTAAGAATCGAGAATGAATTTTACTGATAGTGAAAAAATAACTTAAATATTGAGCTTATGGAGAAGTCGAGAAATTTTGTAATTGATAGTAAGTTTGAATAATTATTGGGTACGTGTCAGCTAAACATCACTGTTGGCTTAGTGTCCTGTTGACTAAATGTGTTGACAGCCAAGTGTCCCGTAGCTAAATGTCCTAACGGCTAACTCTCTGTGTTGCAAAAATGTCCTGTTGGCTAAATGTCCTGCTGGCTACCTGTCCGTGTCATCTAAACTCCTATCCGCTATTTGTCCTTTGTTGGCTAACTGTCTGTGTCTAAATGTCCATGTTGGCTAAGTGTCTGGGTCCGGTTAAATGTCCTGTCGGCGAAATGTCCATATCAGCTAAGTGTCTCTGTCGGCAACTAGTGTCGGCTAAGTGGTCCACGACCGTCCTTTCCCTGGTAAAGAAATATCGTTTTTCCATTCTGATGAAAATGATAAATTTTTTGGCTTTTTACTTGAAAATGCCATTATAAGAACTGACTCTAGCAACCAATGTAAATCAAACTATCCACTAGCAAATATCTAATATACACACGAAATAGAACGTGCACAACCTTACACGATACAATTAGGAAGAATCAAGATTAGCCAACTAGATCATTAACGTGAATATTGAAATGTCCCCGTAAGCTACTAGTAGCTCGCGATCGACAGTTTGGCCGATCACTGGTATATTGCATTGAAAGATTTGCGTATTATCTAATCTTTTTATTTTCTCTATCATTTTCGTTTATTACAATGTAAAGGTTAGTACCTTGGAATACTCTATTTTTTATCTAGAACAATAAATATTCTAAGCTCTATTATTATTCTATTGATACATGTTATCTCTATATCTCCCCTATTTGCACCTTATCTCTATTATTATTCATTTATGCATTTTTGGTATAAGGCATTATAATGATATATGAAATTTTGGACAGGATACTGTAATCTACAACATATCCTACATGTTTTAAGTAGGAAGGAAAAAGTAAACTGCAATAACTTCAGTTATGTTTAAAGATGCATTTGATCAAATACTGCATAGCAATCATTTTAAGTATTTTAAGCGAGAGGCGTGATCAATAAAATGTTACAGAAATTTTATTTCAATATGGTGGCATGAACAAAATTATAGAGTCCAAATAATTTATACCTTTGCTTCTAAAATTCACTTTTTTTATTGTTTTTAATTACAAAATAAAATATATTTGCTAACTAATCCTCAACCACCATATTTTTCTATAAAGGTATAATTCAAGATCAATAATTTTATTGCATTATCAGATTTTCATGAGAGGGAAAGAAATTATGGAGGAGCCTAACAGTCTTGTAAGGGAAAGAATGTAGCATGATTGATGATAAAATAGTAATGAAACATAAAGGTATGAGAAATTTGAAAGCATTTGGAAGAGCGAGCCTTGAAATTAATATCGTTAATAACAGAAAAATTATTAATGATGTGAAAGTGTTCAAAGAACCCAGTTGATTAAACGAAGAGCTTTAATCATATCAACGAAAAGAATTCCAGAAAAATATTCGAAAAAAATTCGAAATCAGCGCTTTTTCATTTGACAATGTACAACAGCGATATTTAATTAAAAGCAATGAAGGCTGAAGTGAGATTTTTTTTGTAATAAGTTTGAATAATTATTGGGTACGTGTCAGCTAAACATCACTGTTGGCTTAGTGTCCTGTTGACTAAATGTGTTGACAGCCAAGTGTCCCGTAGCTAAATGTCCTAACGGCTAACTCTCTGTGTTGGCAAAATGTCCTGTTGGCTAAATGTCCTGCTGGCTACCTGTCCGTGTCATCTAAACGTCCTATCCGCTATTTGTCCTTGTTGGCTAACTGTCTGTGTTGGCTAAATGTCCATGTTGGCTAAGTGTCTGTGTCGGTTAAATGTCCTGTCGGCGAAATGTCCATATCAGCTAAGTGTCTCTGTCGGCTAAGTGTCTTATCGGCTAACTAGTGTCGGCTAAGTGTCCACGACCGGTCCTTTCCCTGGGTAAAGAAATAATCGGTTTTCCATTCTGAATGAAAATGATAAATTTTTGGCTTTTTACTTGAAAATGCCATTATAAGAACTGACCTGCTTAGCACCAATGTATAAATCAAACTATCCAAGCTAGCAAATATCTAATATACACACGAAAAATAGAACGTGCACAACCTCACACGTATACAATTAGGAAGAATCAAGATTAGCCAACTAGATCATTAACGTGAACTATTGAAAATGTCCCCGTAAGCTACTAGTAGCTCGCGATCGACAGTTTGCCGATCACTGGTATATTGCATTGTAAAGATTTGCGTATTATCTATAATCTTTTATTTTCTCTATGCATTTTCGTTTATTACAATGTAAAGGTTATGTACCTTGGAATACTCTATTGTTTTATCTAGAACAATAAAATATTCTAAGCTCTATTATTATTCTATTGATACATGTTATCTCTATATCTCCCCTATTTGCACCTTATCTCTATTATTATTCCATTTATGCATTTTGGTATAAGGCATTATAATGATATATGAAATTTTTGGACAGGATACTGTAATCCTACAAACATATCCTACAATGTTTTAAGTAGGAAAGGAAAAAGTAAACTGCAATTAACTTTCAAGTTAATGTTTAAAGATGCATTTGATCAAATAATGCATAGCAATCATTTGTAAGTATTTTAAGCGAGAGGCGTGATCAATAAAATGTTACAGAAATTTTATTTCAATAATGGTGGCATGAACAGAAAATTATAGAGGTCACAAATAATTTATACCTTTGCTTGTCTTAAAATTCACTTTTTTTAATTGTTTTTAATTACAAAATTAAATATATTTGCTAAACTAATCCTCACCACCATATGTTTCTATAAAAGGTATAATTCAAGAATAACAATAATTTTTATTGCATTATTCAGATTTTTCATGAGAGGGAAAGGAAATTAGTGGGAGGAGCCTAACAGTCTTGTAAAGGAAAGAATGTAGCATGATGTGATGAGTAAAATAGTAATGAAACATAAAGGTATGAGAAATTTGAAAGCATTTGGAAGAGCGAGCTTGGAAAATTAATATCGTTAAATAAACAAGAAAAATTATTAATGATGTGAAAGTGTTCAAAAGAACCCAGTTGATTAAATGAAGAAGCTTTTAATTCATATTCGAAAAAGAAATTCGAGAAAAATATTCGAAAAAAATATTCGAGAAATTTCAGCGCTTTTTCAATTTGACCAATGTACACCAAACAGCACGATAGATATCAAACAATGCTAAGTTATCTCTGATTAAAAGCACATATGAGATCTTTAAGAATCGAAAATGAATTTTACTGATAGTGAAAAAATAACCTAAATATTGAACTTATGGAGAAGTTGAGAAATTTTGTAATTGATAGTAAGTTTGAGTAATTATTGGGTACATGTCAGCTAAACGTCACTGTGGGCTTAGTGTCCTGTTGACTAAATGTGTTGACAGACAAGTATCCCGTAGCTAAATGTCCTAATGGCTAACTCTCTGTGTTGGCAAAATGCCCCGTCGGCTGAATGTCATGCTGGCTAATTGTCCATGTCGTCTAAGTGTCCTTGTCCAAAATCAACCATTGTAACGTACAGAATTCATAATTTTTAATGTTTAGAATGCAAAACACTTGTATTCTAAGCATTAAAAATAATATTAACATTCCACAAAAATTACTGCAGTAGCTCATTAATAAATAAGATCTCAAAGATAAAAAGTAGCTATTTCACATAACCTCACTTTCTGCCTACAAGAACATAAAAAAAATTATGTTAATTTCAATGTAATATTATCTGTAAACTAATAAAGATGAAAAATAATCTTTTCACAGGATAAGTCTTCTCCTTTTTTTTTTAAACGTTTTTGCTAACAGCTTTAAAGTTTAAGTTTCTTCACACAAAATAGCCAGACATTGTTTCTAGCTTGCAGCAGGCACAGATCTGTTGCTCTTTCCTAATTAAGTTACATAAACTATTGGCCTTAACTAGGAATTTTAATCAGTTGTTTTTAATTAAATAATGTAAAAAAGTTTAAAAAGTAAAGTATTCTGAAGATAATAAACCAAAATGATTTATTCCAACACAATAAAATGAACATTACTTTCTGATTATCCTCACCCCCCAACGAAAGTTGAAAACTTATTGTTGACATTGGAGAGCATTCACGAATTTATTGGTGACTATTTTTTGTCAAGCTAATGTACAAAAGGCAACAAACATTTTCAAAACACTGCATTAAGAATTTCATATTAGAGCAATTAATTAAAAAAAATTAAAAAACCAAGAAACACTGGTAATAAAACACTTTTCTTATTTGAGAAATCCTTGTTTTTCATGCTATTGTTCTCCCCATGCACAGAGTGATCTGTTTTGTTTAAAAAGGAAAATTGTACAAACTCACCATCTGTGCAATTCAGTATTGCACACTGGCCAAAACAGGTATGTACTACAAGCATACCTGGGTTGCAACATAAATACTTTTTGGTTACATCATGGGTTGGCCACACAGCTATTTTGGGTACATCATGCTTTGCCACATGAATACCTTTTCACTATATTTTGGTGGGTGGGTGGGAAGATGCAGATTATCAGAAAATATCAAAGTAACTATTATCTTTTATAATTCCTTTCATCCGAAAAAAAATGTTCCACAGTACCTCTCTCATAAAAGTTAAATCTCTCTGCAAAAAATATGAAGTTTGCTCTAAATGACTTTGACGGCAAAGAGCTAAAGCTTCTTCATGAGCATCCCAGCGATGATCCAGTATAAATTCTTCCTAAAGACGAAACATGTTAATTATAATGCTGATAAAAATTATCTGCCAATGCGTAATGGAAAGGCGGAATGGAAAGTTCCACATCATAAAAGTCATTAGAGAAACATAAACAAGAACTGCTTTTGACTTATGTAACTATTCTACCTGACAAAATAGTTTATTTTAATGCAAGATGCAAACTATTATTTTCAGTCATACAAAATTACAAATAAGAGACAATGAAAATAAATTATTAAATATCAATAACAATAAAAATTTACAGGAATGTAACCAATTCAACGACTTACAAATATTAATAAATCTATAAAACAATTATATTTAAAAACTTTTTTTTCTATTTTATATAATGCTACTGCTCATTTTATATGGATAATTTTGAATTCACAACTCATAAAGAGAACATCATAAGGCGTGATTCAAAAAGTGAGAATATAATTTATTTACCAATCCTGGTTTAAAATTAATAACTACCATCTACTTATTGTCATAACAACAAATGCATACCTCAGCTATTTTCAATTTTTCTTCCACCCATGGCTGAATCCGGGAAAGAACTGGATTTAATTGCTCCAGAGAACGTTTAAGCTGAAAAAGAGTCATAAATTAAGACACAGCAAAAAATATATTCGGAAGACACTTGTCATACCTTAAAGCAGAAAAGCTGAAGGAATTCTTTTGCAATACACATACCTGAGAAAGAGTTTGCTTTAAGCGTCGATGCATATTTTCTACTGCCCTATGCATTAAGATTACAGATTGAGCTTGCTCTATTAACAAGGTACCTAAATTAAATATATGTCAGTCTTTATGATATCTAAATAAATAAGATTAGCAAAAAGGTGGGGGGAAAAAGAAAATTATACATCCCAAATGGGACTAAAATGCAAAATATTTTTCTTAAAATTTCATACCTGTTCCAGGTCCAAGTTCTTGAATTTGTGGATGAGCTAAAATAGCTGAAAACACTCTTTTGGTATACTCATCCAGAACTAAGATGTTAGCTTGCTAAAATTTATTATTATACATTGCATCAAAGGGGGGAAAAGAAATCAATTATATTATTAAAATGTATATACTGTTATTACTATACTAATAAATATATATATATATTTTAATGGATACTTTACCCTTTCCAATTCTTCTTCTGAAAGTTTCTTGGCTAAAAAAATTAAGAAAACATCATAGACACTTATTAGCCTATAACTATACATGAAACAAAATGACAATAATAATATGGGATACTCATCTGAAGTAACAATAAATGTTTATTCATTTAAACATAAATTATAAAGAAGATATAATTTATTTAGTCTTAAACAGTTTGATTTAATATCAAAGGAAAGGGGGAAGGTATACTTTTACATATGTAAATAGAATAAAAATTACCAATAGGAAATGCATCACTAACAACAACCAGAGGGAACAACAACCTTTTAAATAACTTAATATTGTAAATGGCAGTATTCCAAAGGGAAAAAGAAGAGCATGTGGAAGATATATATAACATCAATGCCTGTTTCTTAAATTTAGATATTTTACACAGTATGAAAAATAAGCATATTTTAAAAACCTATTTAAAGCTCACTTTTCAGTTCGGTTATGACTTTCTCCCTGAAAGGCAGAAACCAACCACGGGATTCCTTTTCTAAAATACTTGCAATAACTGGAAGTGCTTTACGAATTATTTCTGGAATTCATAAAATATAAATTGATATTTTAAAATATCATGTAATAGAACTGATAAAAAAGTAAAATATAAATTTCAAATATGGAAGAAAATTTTATTATTTTTATTTTATTCTTCAAAACATTATTTCTACTATTATTTATTAACACATTTTTAATTTACTCTTAAAGATTCTGTATTAATTTTGATTTTTCTAATAATTTAAAAAAAACCCTCTTCTTTATGATAAAACAGAAATACTGAAAGAAAAATAGAGTTATTAACCTTTATTGAATAACCGCAGGTCAATATCATGACCTTTGGGTGTTTGAAATAGATATGGGACAGGTGGAGGCTTTTCATTCTCCTGTGGAGAAAATTCAACAAATTAGTATAGTAGTAACAATAAAAATAATTTTAATAAATAATAAAATTATTCTTCATCAAATATGCATCAAGTATAACAACTCAGTATCTTTCATTCAGCAAGACTGAAAAGTCAACCTTTTCAGATCATTCTTCAGAACAACAAACATTTTATATTTTATTTATATTATCTACCGAATTTTCTTTTTGAAATGCAAATGAATTTTGAGTACTTAAAAAATGCCTGATTAGTTTTTTTATACTGGTACCTGTGATTGATAAAAATGAATAAATTCTACCATAGCCATACAATAACAACATATTTTCCATTACTACTTTATTTTTACTACCAGACTGTTATCACTCTAACACTTTTACTCAGATGATCTTGATAATAATGCTTTAAATATAGATAAGATCAAAGTACTGCTTAATGGTGAAAACTCTTGCAAATATTATATAAATATATTTTAATATAAATTAACTATGTTTCAAAGTATTAATTAAAAATAATAAGTCACAAATCTTCGGTACAATAATAAAAATAGTAAAAAAGTTTTGCAGTCCATAAAAAACTGAAGGAAAAAAATTAAACATGATTAAATATAAGGCTTAGTTAAATATAAGATATTTACAAAAATCTAGAACTGATGGGGGTTCAAACTCATAATCTTGAGATCTTCAGTATACATAGTACAGTATATAAGTATAATATGAGAGCAGTTACCCAACAAATTTGCTTTTTAAAATGTGAATGAATTTGATTACTTAAATGCCTGATTAGTTTTTATAACGGTTTTTGAAATTAATAAAAATGAATAAAACCTACCATAGCCATAGAATAACTATATATTATAATATATACTTTATTTTTTATCTGTTACTGCCATTTCAACTATATTTTATATATAAAGGTTAAAAAATAATGCATTTGAAAACATTTTTTTTTTTTTTCAAAAATATCCATACATACTTTTACAAGGAGAAGAGGAAAACAAAATCTCCAGTTATTTAAAGTTCATTCACATTTCTGATATTTTTAACCAAATCATAACAAACTGTTCAATGAATTGTACTGGAACTGACACATGCATAAATGCCCAAAACTCGGCTTTTGGTTGCTGCTGCATCAACATGAAACATATATTGTAATGAGAGAACAATATGCAGTGTCTGGGCAGACCTGAAAGGTTTCGGTGAAAGACTGAACATGCAAATTTACATCACAGTATGTCAATACGATCACATTCATCCCTTACTTTGAGAAATGGACTAGCAGCATAAAAAATGCATTTACAATCCAATGCTACTCTACAAACTGTATATTATTTTATAGTCATTTTTATACATCGCTCATATGTTCTCTATGACTGGCAGCACCACTTATTAACTCTTTGACTGTAATACGTGGCGACACCTTTTCATGGCCATTTTTTGTTATTCCATAACAGCTTATAATCTATTTGCAAACTTTCCCTATACAATAACATAAACATACAAAGAGGCTGAATTTGTCATATTTTCTTTTTGCATTTTTATCATCTTTATCTAGCAATTTTTTATAAACCCTGGAAAAATATACTTGTAAAAACAAAATTATATTTTTATGACTTGATAACAATGGTCCCATTTACTTATTTATGTAAATAATAATAATAATAAAATATTCATGACCTCTAAAAAGTTTCTAGTATCTATTGAAAACAAATGCTTCAAAGACACACTAACTAAAAACAAGCCAAAAATAAATACATACAAAGCAGTATTTTTCCATTGTTTGCTTCCTAATTTGATGTTTGACAAATTGGCACAAATTATCAATGTCGTCTTCAAAACTGGGCTGCATATAAAGAATGAAATAGTCTGATTTTACATCATCCCATAATTGTCAAATATTTTTAATTTGTAAGTTAAAAAATGCTAGTTGTTTTACCCTAACAGTAAGTTCTGCAACTAAATACTTGCTCCGTTCTTCTTGAATTCTGACATCTAGGTTTTTTGCTGACAAGGATGGAATTCCTATACATGCATCTAAACAAAAGAAACAAAAGATAAGACTGTTTAACAGGCACTACATGCTATCTAAAAGATCTGCTTATTCTTACCTAATAGAATTGCTAACCCATGAATAAAGGCACGTACAGATTGCGAAACACTGAAGAAGTCTGACAAAAGCCTGTTCCGAGCAGTGACAATTATTAAATGTACCGAAAGTGCTAAATCCTGTATGAAAGATAAAAATTATTTAAAAACTATTTCAACTAATTACAAGTATGCTATATAGATTAAACTCAAAAATTTTATACAGAAATCAAAATGTAGAAATTTTTATTTTCAAATCAACATAGATTAACAGTAGAATTTTCAAAAAACTTCTCAGAATCATTACTTTCCGAAAACAGTACAGTACTTAGAAGTGGTATAGCTAAAATATAAGACAATTTATTCTTGATGATTTTTTAACTTGTGTTGATGAGAAATTTTTGTTATTTCATTAATTATTTGTTTTTAACAACTATAGTTATAATTAAAGGGTATACAGACATGACAACTAAAACTGCTACATTTTCCTATCATACTATAATTCAAATTTTTAAACATAAAATAATAGCTAGGCAATTTTTTTATTACTTATACAATGGCAGCTGCATTTCAAAAGTACATCATGCAATTATTTTCAGTACACATAATGAAAATTCACAGACTTTTCCCTCCCCTTTTCTAAAATGCCCGATTCCTTGTTAGCTTTTTTAACTTGTTGCACATTTATACTAATGGTTATATCTAATGGATCAATATCATTATTGCATTGCAACAGCTATACAATTTTTAAATCCTAATAGTCAGTCCCAATATATATAATACAGTTTTAAAATAAAGATTTAAAAAAAAAAATGTCTGAATACAGGCTTTTAGAATTGATTATTTACCAGGAAAGATAAAGACCTTCTCCAAAAACATTACCAACAACTGTAAGAAATGTCAATTTGCTAGGTCACATGGATGATTAATGCTGCAACAGCATTAATAATGTGACATGACCCTAACAAAAGGAGAGGTTTCATTATAGACATTTGTGATGTAGAAAATATATATATTCCCTATAATTTGAATTTTACATCTAATTTTCTACAAGTAACATTTGGGGTTAATACAGGACTGAATTCTCGAGGAACCCAACAATGTCTTGCTAGTGTGATTTATTTTATACAAGGAAAATTTTAATTTTTTTAAATTAAATAATACCAATTTTATGCATTATTTAACTGGGGAGTTAACTATCTGTTATGCAAATCATTAATGGGCCTAAAAATTTGTTAAATTTAATTAAAGAAATATTTCCAATACTCGTCATTCACATTCTTGTCTTACTTCATGAATACCTATACTTTTAAAGATCTCAAAGGGAACTTCTTCAAGATGTTCTTTGCTTTATGTTCATATATCTGGTTTATCATCAAAATAGAAAGCATCACCATTTAAAGGTAATATGTATTACATGCCTCATCTAATAAAATAAATGCATATTTAGATCTTGAACAATTAAATCATTCCTTTATTAAACAAATACACAACTCTCTATGCAACATTAATTAATGATAAAGTATACAGAATAATGCCCAGCTATGGCTTGAATAATTAAGTTCTTTCTATATTAAGTGCAGAAGATTCCAAATAGCTTTGCATTACAATGAAATAATATTACAGCTACATCTTGAATCACATTTTGAAAAAACAATGGTACTTAAAGCTGCATCTTAAATACTTGCATTTTCTTTATTAAATAAGTGCATAAATCTTCGCATGGCATTAATTTATGATGAAACAATACTGTAGCGTTTTCTTTTTTCTACACCAGTTGTTATGTTATTTTCTTTCTTCACGTTCGTACAGGGTTCGTGTGGATTTGGAGTGAATAACGATGACACTTGATGAAGTATTGAATTACATTTTATTTAGCCAATATTAATCAGGACAGCTCCAAAACCCTTTTACAGTTGTCCACTATACACTCGCTGGAAAAATCAGCGACAGAGCCTTCAGGCTATCAAGCTATAATGGTGAAGACAACTTCACTGCAAAGCACCAAGGTACAGCTCCCAACTCTGCTTGGTTGTTCTCGGAACTCCATGTACTCTCAAGACCCTCCATGCTACAACTTGCGATGCAGTCGATGACACACAGAGCACAGCTCTCGACTCTTTGGTTCAGTCGTTCCCGGAGCTCAACACACTCTCTCGACGATGCACTAATCGCGATACACTAAGAGATGCTTCGATGCACTCGACGACCCACCGACCCACTCGGCACTCGCTGGCTGGCTGTCAACTCGATTGTCTCCGCACGGACTAACTAGATGAGACACACTAACTCGTCCTCTCGACAAGGCACTCTGACTGCGAACCTGCAGGTTTTATATAGCTTTTGGCTTGTGTTCGAGAATATTCTGGGCTAAACCAGTAAGAATTCATTCCAGAAGGTTTCCCATCCATCCATGGCATATCGCCAAATGGACGATTTCTTGCCAAATGTGGCAACCCTGCTTTCCATTGCCATTTTATGGCATCCCTAAACCTGTTTTGCGGGGAAGCTATCTTACCGCACCTGGACATTTCGTAACAATACCAAAGTTAATTCTCACCCCCTACAACACACACAACTTTGCTTTACCATTTTTGAACAGTTTATCATAAATATGAAATTTTATGGTACTTGCATATTACCCTGTCGACTACGAAACTGTCACCATGCAACACGATTTAGCACCAGTTGTGGATAAATGTGATGTAAGAGCACACTCATAACACCTGAATTTTTCTTTAACGTAACCTCGATATTCTTGATAAACCACCAATTGTTTTTATGAACAAGAATATAAATTAACTGTTATTCTTGTTTTTTGTAAATTTTGAAAAAAATCATTAAAATTTGCAACCTGCTTTCTACAAAATAGCAAGAAATGGATTATTTTCAAAGTTATCGTATTCTACCATAAAAAAAAAAAAAAACTTTACATTAATTAATTGACAGGTTACGGTTGGCTGAATATGGCCAACAAAATAGTCACAGACTGAAACTATTACCAGTCAGAAGTTTGTACATAAAGTGTTATAAATATTGCTTTCGGTAAAATAGAGGGCCTAGCAAAATAATAGAAATCAACAAAAGGCTTTTTAGTAAGTGCAAAAATAAAATGGGTCAAATACTGATTGTTCATTAATTAAAGAGGTGTCAGTTCTTTAGAATGTCACAGGAACACAGCTTTGACAGGATCTTTGCTAACTTTCATATTTTGATGGTAGCCATGAAATGCACACATCAAAATTAAATTACAGTTTCTTTTTAATCTTAAAATTTTTATATTATTTAACTTTTTTAAACTTTAATAGCAAACTCTTCAAGGTATTAGACTGCAAACTGCAATTTATTATTGCTTTCTTTCTATTTCTTTCCAAAAGATGGCAGAAAGTGCTCACTGTACCTTTATTTAAAATTTAAGAAAAGCACTGGAATGCAAGACTTAAGATATGAAGAGACTGCACCAGGCTGCAAAATAACTAGCACTGATCCTGGATAAGCCTTCAGTATATGTGGGAATTTATTTATTCAGGACTTGGATAAGTCAGACTACTTACATGGACTCATATCCCTTGTAAGCAGGAAATAGGTTTAAATATAATAAATAACTACACTAATATAATTCAGGTAAACTAATATAATTTGTCAGCATGCATACTGTAGTGGAATAACATGTCTTTGGTCACTAATTTCATGATATATCATCAACAGTGTATAGCAGATGGTAGCTAAACTTTACGATGATAGCTGCAAATTTAAGGGTTTTCAGATATAAACTAAATGCAAAATTTTCCAATTTATGAAATTTGTAAAGAGATCTGGAGAAATGGTAATAAATGAAAGATGGTATGACAGATGTTTTTCATTGCCTCAATCAACTAATGGACTCAATCAACTAATGGATAATGCCTCAATCAACTAATGAATGGGAAAATCTGTAGTATGTTCTAAATTCAGAAAATATCACTACTGATAGTGAAGAAAGAGATAGACAGGTTGTTCAGAATGAAAAAATTTTGATTGACAATTCAGTGGGAATTCTCAACACAGCAATTATAGGACTTGAGCATAACTTTTAACAAATAATAATAATAAAAAAGTATTATTATTAAAGAGAAAGTATTAGCACAAAAAATGAAGAAACTTCAACAATTTACATAAAAATAAATATTTAATGAAACAAATAAATAAATATTGAGCTTTTTTTGGGGGGGATTTCCTTAAGATCATAAATACTTCATTATATTATAACCTGTTATTTCATATTTTTAATTCTATGATTTCTATGTCCCAGAATCGCCGAAGAGGAGTCCACATTAAGGACTTTGTACTGTACTATTAAAAGGAAAGCGAATTATAAATGGCAAAACAAAATAAAACATTGTGCTACAAATAAAAAAATTAAGTTTCAAAGCTTTTTATCATATTTGGTATCACCATTCACAGTGTTAAATACAATCAAAAATAGTTCCAAAGTTAAACATTTACCCGAAGAAGAGTATCATGAATATTCTGAATTCCTTTTTGTAGCAGCTGGCTAAGGTGCCATTTGTGCACTTGGCCTGCAAAATTCATACTCTCCACTTCAAAGTCTCTACAATTCAAAAATAATTAAATGTTAGTATACACACAAGACATATATGACACTTTATGGTAATATACAGACAGACAAGACATTTTATGGTAATATAACGCAGAAAGAATAAATTTCTACCCATCTTGAGTCAAAAATTTAAATTTCACTGAAGATTTCAAAACTGAAATGCAAATATAGTGAAACCCCTCATGATGACTAGGAAAGTGATCAGTATGTTTATGAATATAAACAAACATTGATAATTAACATCAGCAATAGTGATGTTCTTTACAATGAACTCCACAAAATACTAATAATAATAATTTAGAATCCTTGTTGTTGCTCATGTAAGTTGCTTACTGTAAGTATTTAAATATTAGACAGAAATTCTTATTCAGTTTTGAACTGCTAATTTAATTATTGTAAATTTCGACAAATAATATTTTTTAAAATTATTCTGCATATTTTATGAGAATATAGTGATTATTAAAAACTCAACAGATAAAATTAACCACTTGAGCTAAAAAGACGTGCCACACACATCGAGATGCTTTTGTTTCAAACCGCAAGCGATGTGATCACCACGTCGATAGGCATTTATCGCAAGAATGAAAATAACATGGTGCACATGTCGCCTAACAACGAGATTGTTTATTTATGGAGTTACAGCTCTGGATTGCACTTGTAGATGCGGAGTGGTGTAAATGAGACACTTTACCGCTTGTTATATTGTAGTGCACAGCACCGCAACCGTGAAGTTTAGTCGCAGTCCAAGTGGTTAAAGTACTTTTCAATGTCAATATGCAGACATTTCATAGGCAATATTTTTGTTTACTTCTTGCAGTATTCAAATAATTTCCTAGTCATACTGTTTCAATTTTGAGCTTCTTTGTTCTTATATAACTGCAAGTCTGCTTTTCTGAATTTTAGAACTTTTTCTGCTTTTCTGAATTTAGAAGTTTTGAGTTGGGTGCCAACCTATTATCCTAATTTTGTGCATTTCTTGGCAACAAATTTTTAGAAATGGGCACACATCAAATTTTCTTTGGCTGCAGATAGCTCTATATAAATTTTGTTTCAGAAGACATTTCATTCAGAATATTTTCTCACATGCCGTTGATTTAAAGGCAACAGAATTCACATAAATTTAGACTATTTGATATGTGCGGAGGGTGGGCAGAAGGATGGCAGATTATCATTGTGAAACCTCAAAAGCTTTTTAAACAGAATATGTTGTTGTTGCATGGTTTTATTGGAAAGATTAATTCAAACATATAAAGCAGTTCAGGTATCATACAAGAAAAATAATAAATAATAAAAAAGAACAAGCATTTATAAAGTAAGAATCAGAATAAATGAACATGGGAACAAAAGTAAAAAGTTAAACATTTAAACAACAAGGTAAGGAACACAAGAGATGTAGTCTTACAAGGTGTGTGTATTGAAAATACGGCAAAGCACACTAGGGCTATCTGCCTAAGGGGAGGGATGCCTTTCGTGGAGGACTTTCTAAGGGAAACTGGCTCGTATACACGTTACACATGGGGAAAACCACGAAAACGCCCATGCAGCCAGCCCGTTCGTGGGATTCGAACCTCGGACCGAACTACCAGCGTTCAGCGACTTTACCGCTCGGCCGCTGGTGGGCTAGTCTTTACAAGGAGTTCATGAAAGCTCTGGAATTCCAACATAGTTTACTTAACTCACTACATTTCTGAGACTCCTTATAGAACTCTTTATAGACATAGAACTTTATTTTGGCTGTGGCCAATTGTTGTTTCTCAATTTGTTGTGTACCAGTTCTACCCAGTTTCTCAATATGTTGTGTGCAATTCCAAGAGTAAAAAATCTGATGCATACATCACATGTCTTCCTTGTACAGAATATTAAATTATATACATTTTTTTCTTGAATTTCATTTAAACTTATTGGATTGAATTAAATCTACTTTTCAATAGTGCATAAACCACAATAGAATAAGTGCACTCTTTAAAATTCATTATATTTGTTTACCATAGAGACGCTCTGGCGCTAGGTTCACTTAACAGCTTTACATCTCATTCATTTTATAACTCAGAATGCATAAAATTTGTATCATTTGAAGAATTATCTAATCATTGCCACACATTCTATTCAAATACTATAAAAATCTAAAACGTGAGCTCGAAATAGCTACATTAAAAATTGCGAAGTATATCTCAAACACTTATTTCGCCGAATAAATTTCAGAATGAATTAAGCATGATTTAATTTGCAATAATAAAAGATGGCATTATCTTTGTTGTTGTGAAGCTTAGTTTCTCTAGATTGGCAACAAATCCGTTATTTTGTCATGTTTCAAATGTGAATAAGCATGGCCGCCATCGCAAAAATAATTAGGCTTAGCCGCACTTAAACAACTGTTAAATTGTTGACAACTCAGATATAAATATTGCATGCATATTATAAATATTGCATGCAGATTTACTAAAGGCATAAAAACCTTAATCAGAAGATAAGAACAACATAATTCAATCATTTTGAAAACAAAAAATGCACAATTTACAAACATATAAGAATAAAGAAACTGAGATCACTGAGCCGAGTAACAGAGTGGATATATATGTACGCATACTTACATACTTTTGGTGTGGCCAATTGCAACCAAAATACGAGGTGCACATCTACACGTTATAGCAGTCCTATATACAAAATTTCACCACCCTGAGCCTACTCGTTTTTGAGTTATGTGAGATATATACATTTGTACGCACATATTCCATGAAAAATTCTCTTCAGAATTCATTTTAAATTAGTTTTATAATTTTTTTTTGGGGGGGGGGAGTCCTTACGTACAGATGTCATGCAAAAACATCATTAAATTGCATTGGATAGGGGTCAAAATGGATATTTTCGTTCAAATATGATACCTGAAATTTTTCACGATTATAATACTTCGTTTTTACTTCATACAAGGAAGTAAAAACATCCTTTGAACTCTTTATGATGAAGCTCTTGCTGTTTCTAACATTTCAATGACTTTCAATTATTTTTCTACTATGTATTCTTTTATTAGAGGTAGTGAATTCTAACATTCAAGTATAGTCAGTGACTTAACTCTACTTCTACAAATGATTCCAGAGTAAGGTGAAACATGAATTAAAAACTTCTATGTAATGCTGAATAAATCCTGTGAAATTAATGAAACAAAAATGTGTAGATACACATTTTTGTTTCATGAATTCTAATATTTGTTTGCACTTGCTAGCAAGATGTCAGCTTTATGTTTTCGTAATAAAATTTCGAAACATAAAATATTAAAAATGTGCTGATGATTACAATGGGTATTCGTATTATGTTTCAAATAATTTCATGCATGTTTTATCAAGAATTTTGTGAAGATCTTTTCAAACTTACACAGCTTCAGTGATGTTGCAATTATCCTTATGGATTTTATCCAAAATGAAGAAAACTGCTTCAAATGAAGTAAGAGGTACCTTACATTTTATCTGATTACTATATTAAGAACTTTTGACTGAATTTTCTTGTTCATTACACCTTGATTTTCTTCCACAATGCACACAAATACTGATCAGTTCTTATTCAGCTTTCAAGAAAGCTGCATAATGGGTTTTTGCTTACTTCAGATGATGCATCTTAATTATTTCTATTGTATTCACTAAATATTGCTTGCGTATGCTGGTGATTTCAAAAACATTTTATGAATTCAGTACATGATATATTTAAATCTTAAGACCAGTATATGTACTGAACAATCATAAGATATATGCTGAAAATTATTTTCTCATTTTTGATATATTTTCTGCATTAATGATTACAAAACAGCAGATTTTACATTAAAATTTGCTTTTAGCTTTTCCAATGACATCAACAGCAAGGATAAGTAAATTTTCTCTTGCATGTGGTATTAATGCTATACCAACAGTTTCCACTAAAAATACAGTTTCTTCTACACAGACTAATTCAAAGATTACTGGTAAATTGTGGATATTAAACCAATTGTTAAGTATCAAACACAGTGTTTGATTGACTTAAACATTACTGAATTTCTCTGTTTGATATAATCTAATAATAATATTACTTTAATAATTTATCACTCAAGTCTTATTAAATGGAGGCAGCATCTGTATTAATTTTATGAAATGAAGGTTTTCTACATTATGAAATGACATATTTGCTTACTTGATAAACTATTTTAGATTTTTGTGAAGATGTCAACCTATTTACTTGTATGATCCATCGTTTTGAATTAGTGCACTCATCATCGGATTTATGCTTCAGATTAGAAGACCATATAAGTGAGATAGTTTCTGGTCTTGTACTAACAGGCTTGTTTAAAACACTTTAAATAATTTTACTTCCTTAAAGTGCTTTTATTTTCTGCATTCAGTGAATAAGTTCTTGTAAAAAGCACTATAGATTATCCTAATCTTTGATTTTAACACATTTCCCACCATTAAAAAAAATGGCAGAATATGTGATTTTAATCATTGAGGGAAACAGTTTTTTTAGGGGGGGATCTTATCCAGTTTTGTACACAATAAGTGAAGCATAAAGATCTATGCTTACTTGGAGTGGATACTTTTTGTTTTCCATAGTAGGAAAGAAGGTAGCTCAGATAGCATTGTGAACTGTGCTGTTCGTTAACTTTCTGAATTGATGCAGCTTTTTGCTTTGTTCAGGCTATTATAATTAATCAAAACAAAAGGTACTTTTCTGTTTTGCCAAGCAGACTTTATTGGCAACAACATACAGTATATACATAAAAAATGTTAACAAATGTTAGTTCTTAAGAATTTTTTATTTTGAAGGCATAAAAATTTTAATATCGTTTGAAATTTTGTAAAAAACCCAATAAATAAAGACACTAAATTTGTAAAAAGACATTAATTTAAGAATTTACTATGACAACATCCTGATTCGCCAGTTCATATCATGTGACCCCAAGTGATCTCACCTCATGTAAACTATGCTACAAAAATCCAATTCTCTCAGTAATTAATTATCTACATTAATTTCAAGTTAAATCTTAATTTCCAATACAAGTTTAAATGAAAGAATTATTTCAATTCGTACAAATAGCTTACTCAAATTATGTAAAACCGCAGTGCTTTACTTCGTTAGTGCATTCTCATTAGAATTGACGAATTTAAGCCTTGGTTTTTTATTTTCACCTTTGGATGAGCGTTGTGATTGCATCTTAATTGACTTAATTACTGCGAATGGCCTTAGGGCATAAAATTGAACTATCTGGTAAAAATTCTATGTAACTGTGTGCCAGTATTGAAAGAAACAATCAATCTGATAAGAAATGGCTGTGACTTGTTTTGAAAATGAGGCGTAAGAAGTTACCAGCCAGGATATTCCTTTTGGCATCAATTGTTGGCAACTTTATCGCCTGCGCCGGCAAAACAGAAAAGTACTAAACAAAAAAAAAAAAAAAAAAAAAAAAAAAATTTAATGGATGACACCATTTTTCTCTTTCCTTGAAACTGTACATCAAACATTCAGTCTCTGGAAATCAGAAGTTTATATGCACTTAAATGCAGATATAAACTAAACTTTTCACAATGCAACTTTAATTTTTTAAATATTTTAATATAAAATCTGTTATGTGTAACATTGATTAGTCATGGCAGGAATGTCTGGAGATATTTTAAAAAATGCTTAACATATTTTATAATGAGCTAAGAAATTTTATTCTGATGACAGCTGTGAATCTGAAGGTTTTCGGATATCATATGTAAAAAGCAAAATTTTAAGATTAATAAAATATGTGAAGAAAATGGTAAATGAAAACATATAACTAATGTCTTCCACTTTCAATGACACTGTCCCAATCATCAATAAATTTACATCCACATAGTTTCAAATTACGAAATAAATACATCAAAACAAAAATTGCTGATTGGTATGGCTTTAACGAAAAACAGTAGCAAATATTTCTGATTAACAGAATATGTGAAGAAATGCAATTATATACTGAACTATAGTGATATAACTGATGTTTTCATTGCAATGACAATATGCCAATCATTAACCCTTTGTGGCATGGAGTGCCTGGTATGGGCACACCTAAAACTTTCCTTCTGTACGCACAGAAAAATTGAATGAAAAAGAATTTAGATGTTACTATAGGTTACTCTGAACCTTCTTTATTTATAGTAGATGGCAGCTCAGCACAAACCAGTCCATATATTTTAGCCAAGTTTAGTTTTTTAAGACCCTCATTTTTCAAAGAAATCTTCCAGATTATTTTGAGGGTATAAAAAGAATTGTTTGAAAAGAAATTTCTATGTTATTTTTTTGGCTGTATACTAATCTCTTTATTCTTTATTGGTTTTAAATTTTTACCTTGAAATTTTGCCTAAAATCGAACAGGCGAACCCAAGGTGTTCCCAGACAGGGCACACGAAGACTCTAGGAAAACTGAGAGATTGTATTCTTTGTTTCTCCGCATCTCATCAGCCAGTTCATTAACAATGAAAAGGTGGGTCCACATCGGTGTTTCATTTTTTTCTCTTTCTTCTTTTCTCTCTCTCTCTCCTTTTTTTTTTTTTTTTTTTTTTTTTGAGGAGACGTTTGGTTATTAATTAACAATTATTTTATAGTTTAAAATTTCTAATTATGGATATAATATTAGTTTTTTTATTTTAATTATTTTACAAATGGATCGGAGAGGCCTGACCAATTTCTGAAGCACTGAAAGTAATACACGAATTGATTCAGATAGTGAATCTGATACGGATCCCGGCACATATGCAAAACATACAATATTAGGTTGTGCTTTTTTAAAGGTGGTGTCACTTTCTTTGAAAAGTACCACCATGAAAAAATAAACTTAAAAGTAAATATGAAATCTAAATAATGTAAATATCATATATCCAAGTTACTTTTTATCCCCATTCATATGCATGTAATCATCATATAAGCAAAAAAGAGCTTTTTTGGGGGTTGTAGAGTAGATCTCCCCGTGGCACACCCTAAGTAATGCTAAATCTGCTACAGTATTCAGAATCTAGTGTTTTTTAATCATAGGCAAAATCTCTTACTCTTTTACGTGCTTCCCAGCAATGCTCGTTTCAGCACACTTTTCAAAGCTCTATTCAATCTGTGTGCCCGCTTCGGGTACACCCACAGAATTAAAACGATAAGTGCTATCTTCACAAAATTTTACTTGTGTACTCCTCTAGGCCTAATTAGACTGCCTACCTTTTTTTACCCGGAAAGGGTTAATCAATTAATGGATGGTGAAATCTGTAGCATGGTTTTAAATCCTCAAAATTTTGGCACTGGTAATGAAGAAAGTGGTAAAGATGTCAAAAATGAAAAAAAAAAATTTCCACTTTCTATTTTGTAGGAATTCTCATTATGGCAATTACATAAACTGGACAAGAAATTGACTCTAATATAATAATAAATCTCTTTAGGTATTAACACCAAAAAAAATCTACTGCTTGGATTACTTATCACTGTTAATAATTTTACTTTCAAGGCAGGCTGGTAAGCTAAGAAATGCAAATACTTCAGTGAAAAATCACATTCTGTGGAAGGCTTCAATACCTTTTACATTGTCTTTAGCAATACACTATACAGTGTGGTTAGTGTAAGATATATTTTTTTATTATTTGGTAATGCCTTAGTAGTAAAGCATATAGCAGAAAAGCATAATTTATCAATTAAACTTGACCATATTTTTTTTATTATGTCCCATGTACATTGTCATTTTTTTAGCATTTGTTATCATCAGAAGTTTCTGATTAAGTACTGGAATGCATTACCTGTAGATACAAGGACACTATTTATGAACTTTGCTTGATGATCTAAGAGCAGTATCATACTGAATTTTTTGTTGATAGACACATATAACTGAATTGTTATTTTAAAGCAAGCATAAACATCAAAAGTTGAAAAACAGGCTTTAGGTTTCATGACTATTTCTTGGATATGATGCACATGTTAATTATAGAAAATAGACAAAAACCGATAAGCAAGCTATAGATTCTTCATCAGTTTAATAAAATTTAAAAAAATCTGTTCTTCACTGGCGTTATCAAATTTACCCAATCTATGAGCAGATAGTTGTTTACTAAGTTTTAATTACTATAAATACTTACAGTTAACTCATTTTCTTTCCTCTTGTTTACATTATTTTTTTTTTTTTTTTTGCAAATGATACATTAAATAAGTTTGCCCCTTTTTTTTAAGTGTTTCCTAATGTGAATGTAATCATGTTTTGTAACATAATCAGGTGTAACTTTAACTAGTTAAAGTGGTTGTGAACTTCTAACACACTGATAGTGATTATGAACTTATCACAATCTTCAACCAGTTCCTAATATTAAATAATAAAATAAATTATTAAATCTCAGCTGGTACTACAATCAAACTATAATGAGGTATAAAAACTTCTATAAATTATGTTTGGTACTTATGCATTATCCCATTGAACATGAAAGCTGACAGATATCCTGACAAAATTGAACCTATCATCCCTGTGGAATTCTGAAAGAATTGATACCTCTTTATTTAATAAACAATCAGTGTTCCACCTACTTCATTTTTGTGCTTTGTTAAAAGGCTTTGATTTCTATTTTGTTAGGTTCTCCAATTTTACCTGAAGAAATGTTTGAAATGCTTTGAGAACACAGTTCCCGCATGTAATTGTTCCAATCTATTACCTTTTTGTCAGCCATACTGAGCTGATCATATCCTATCCCATATAAAAAGAGGGTGTGCCCCCCTTTTTTATGGTAAGATACCATAAAAATAAACCACTACCTGCTGTTTGGTAGAAGAACTTAGAACATAAACCACTGCCTGCTGTTTTCTAGAAGCCAGTCCCAAATTTTAATAATTTCATTCAAAATGGAAAGGGGGGAATAAGCAATAGAGTTAATTTATAGCCTTGTTCAGGAACACAAATGGTGGCTTATTGAGAATCAGCTGGGCTTACATTAAATGAAAATGCAGATGTTATGAGTATGCTGCTATGTTATGTTATGCATATCCATAATTGGCACTAAATTATGTTGCATGGCAACAGTTTCACGGTTGATAAAATAATACATATGTAACTTATATTCAAGTGAAATAAAAGAATGGATATTAAGAAGCTTGTCTTCTTTTCCAAAGAAATTTTTTATTTATTCCTTTTCTTCAAATTAATGATTTCAATTTAATTGAATTATAATGTACGAATAACAGCATTAAAAAAGTAAAAATAAGTTTATTATAATATGCACTGAGAGAAAAGTACATTTTTAGTAACAATTTTAAATGACTACTTTTAACTACAAATAATTTTTTAACACAAGTTTAGAAAATAGTACTTAATCAAAATACTAGACTAAAATTTAAAATAAATATAAAATCAGGTAAAATATACAAGAAATAAGATATGATAAAAAGTACTCACCCACTTTCTCGTATGCTCAATAACTGTTTTTCAGACAATGGTTGAGGATCACCTTTTGCATCTAAAGAAACTATATTTAGTTCTTCAAATGTAGGTGCTACAAAAAGATCGTGCACCACAAGAGGCTTACACTGGAAAGCAAAATAATATATAATAAATATTGAGAAGTATTTTATTGAAAATTAATGAAGCAAAACTTTTACAGTATTATAATCGAAAAACTTTACACATTTACAATAATTAAAAGAATACCAATATACAGACAGAAGTACAACTGAATTAAAGATATAGAGTGTTATGTAAATGATGTGGCGCTGCTGCCTCATTTCTGCACATGTGAGGATACTGTCATAGAATACATAAAGTTTGATCTGTGGTTCTCTTTGAGCAAGTGTTAAAAATAACTTGATGGGTAAAACTCACTATTTACGTAGCGTATTCGGAAACTAAGTACCGTTTCATTCTAGTGCCATCGCAGCGCTGTGGTAGGCGTCCTGCGCATGCGCACTAGTCTTTCTTGTTCACTGACTTTCAATTGTCACCATTTTGGTTGCTCTATGTTGTGTTTCAGTTTGCTGTGCACATTCAAAATGTTTAAGACAATTAGTTCTCCCGCTGACTGTGAGATTCGTGCCATGGTTAAATTTTTGAACGCGAGGAATGTTAAACCGGAAAAAAATTATCGTCAAGTGACAGAAGTTTACGGTGAATACGCGATAAGTGATAAATTGGTGAGAAAGTGGGTAAGAATGTTTAATGCAGGTCGAACAAATGTCCACGCCGAGGCTCAGAGTGGTCCGCCTTCTGTTGTCACCGATGATTTCGTAAGGAAAGTTGATGAAGCAATTCATGAGAACAGACTCTTCACAATGACAACTCGTTCAGAGGCATTTCCACAAATTTCACGTACTGTTTTGTTCGAAATTGTGTCTGACCGCTTGAATTATCGCAAACTGTGTTCCCGATGGGTTCCAAAAATGCTTACTGATGTTCACAAAACAAAGCGAATTGGTAGTGCCCTGACATTTCTCATGCAGTACAGTGATGAGGGAGAAAACTGAAACTTGGGTGTGTCATTTCACACCAGAATCGAAACAACAATCGATGGAGTGGAGACACACTCATTCTCCGAAAAAACAAAAGTTCAAAGTGACAATGTCATCACAAAAAATCATGTGCACTGTCTTCTGGGATAGGAAAGGCATTTTGCTTACTGAATTTCTTCTCAGACGTGAAACGATTAATGCAGCACGATATTGTGAGACTTTAACAAAACTAAGGCATGCTATTCAAAACAAACGAAGAGGAATGCTCAGTAAAGGAATTGTGTTGCTCCATGACAATGCTCGGCCCCATACTGCTGGTGTCACTCAATCGTTAATTCAACAGTTTCATCGGGAGCAGTTCGATCACCCACCGTACAGCCTGGACTTGGCGCCGTCCGACTATCACTTGTTCCTGCACATGAAGCGCGAGCTTGGTGGCAAGTGCTTTGGATCTGACGATGACACGAAAAAATGCTGTGGAGTCGTGGTTATCGAAACTGGCGGGAAGTTTCTTTGACGATGGTATACGAAAACTGGTCACCCGCTATGACAAGTGTTTGATCATTGGCGGAAACTATGTTGAAAAATAGTTTAAGACATGTATTTTCATGTAAAAATAAAATTGGATTCGAAAAAATTGTTTTACTTTTTTTTTTTTTTTCAAAACGGTACTTAGTTTCCGAATACGCCTCATAGAAGCTCTCAACTGAAGACGTGAGTCAATGCATATTTCATATAATTTCAAAAATTAAAGTTTGTTTCCTCATTCCACAGTATCAAGACTATGGTGGCAGTAGAGACAGTGAGGAAAAAATGAATAATCAGGCAAATTGCAAGGGACAAGCAACCTTTAATGACCATGATCTTCAAAGACAGCCATGTTGTACATAGCCAGTGACACTAAAACTTAGTTCAAGTGAGTACCCAACTGAATGAGGTTCCAGTTGAATGGTTGGTAGATAGACTGTGAAGTGCTTGCTTCATTACGTGCTTCAGATACCAAAGATTTGTGAAAGTACCACTTCTTATTGCATGCCATGGCACTCAGTGTCTTCCACGAGCCACAAAACATTATAACTAAACTACTGACAACTAGAAGTGAGTAGCATGACTGATGAATTTTGATTCCAACTGTATCACACTCATGACAGGCTAAGAATAGAGCACCAGTCTCATGAATATTTGGACTCAAGTTAGAGTTGTATGAAGTCACAGTAGTTCAGTTATAGTTTGAGATGTTTATTCTCGGCAATGTTTAGGACTGCTAGTGCCTGTGCCAAGCATCTTCCCTTCATCTAAGTACATAAAGCTGCTTGCAATCACTTACATCCCTTCATGCTTTTTTTTGCCATACTGATGGAAGTGGGTGTATCAGCAGGACAACTGTTCCTGTCGTAGATTCTGGTTGACTACCACCCAGTTTGAAGGGCATTCCAGTGAAGTCTCCATGCTGAAATATCCACTGAAAAGCCTGGATTTCGATCCCATAGTTGGGATATACTAGAAAAAGGTGTGTAAGCACATCATTCACTGCCAGTGTCATCAACTAATTTATCGTAAATCCTAGAAGACATTTGATAGGCTATAACTTCTTGAGCACTTTCTTTAAAGTTAATGAAACCAGGCCTCATTGCATGGCAGCCATTATTAAGGCCAAAGGAACAGCAACTTGTTACTAATCAGATATCCTTAATTCAATGGCATTTCAGCACTAAAACTTCCAAGCTGTCAAGGCTTAGATCATAAATTTTTAAGTTTCCGAAAAGACCATACATAAAAGTATTTTCTTGGTTATAATTCTAAACTGGCCTTCTAACTTAGTATCTTGACATTTAATTTCTGATATATGTACTATAATTGTCTGCACGCATTTCAAGATGCATGTCTTTGTGTTTAAAAATATTAAGAATTATAGTTTTCAATATATATACTATATATATATATTACAAAGTTTAAACTCTTTAAGCTAGTAACTCCTCCCTAAAAATCTTATATTATTGACTAACAGCAATTCGCTATTTATTTTATTTTGTACATTTGCCTAACCATACCAGTTTGTATAGTTTTTTCTTACACCGTTAATGTGTTTTTCATTTACTTTTACAAGCGGATGCATCGGGAAATGAAACAGAGAAATTGAGACTTAAAGTTTTTATCTAGGTTATTTTATCAGTTAAATATTCAAAAAGTTTTGTGTACAGCCTCGATTTTTTGTTTTGACGAAATGCGATATGGAATTAGCTGGATTTGAAAACCATTATGCATTTCCCCTGAAGAGTCAATAATGAGATTCGAATTGGGCTAATTTACCATTTACAGCTTTTTTGTATTTTTGTTGCCTAACTTTAAACTAAGAGTTGCCTAACTTTAAACATTAACTATTTTCAAATACTAAAAACATGAGCATATTTAAATGACACATAACAGCACACTAAAGCTCCAAATATGAATTTCACTACTCAAATCAATAAAAACTAAACAAAAATTACCTTTTTATTTCCATCATTTTCTGTTGTAATTACTGTAAGTGGAGGAGGTAATACTATAGGAAAGACTTCCCAGTGATACAGCACTCTTTCTGCAACCTTAAACAAAGAAAGCAAGAAAATAACTACAAGTGCATAAGCTAATAAATATCCAAGCACATATGAAAATAAAAAAATTAAATAAATAAATAAGTAATAGAAAGAAATATACATAAATAAAATAAAAATTAAACAGACCAAAAGCTTCCTTACTAAAAATAAACATAGTTAAAAAAAGAAAAAAAAGACAGAGAGAATTCTGCACTTGAGGAATACAATATAGTATATAATATATGTATTAGAAACAGTTTTTATGAATTATGATAATGTTGTAAATGTTCAAAATTTTTAAATTGGACATTGAGTCAAACCCCAGTATACAGAACATAGTCTGTAACTTTCACTTTGCAGAATGAGCATATAAAAATTTTATAACAATAATTTTTGGATGGTTAAAAGCATGAAAATACACACATATTCAGAAATCTGTGGTCAGTAATAATAAATTTGATTAGCCTAGCCAATGGCCACAGAAATATAGCTTATATGTTACATGTGACCTGAATGCCACTAGTTGGTTATAATCTGTCTATCATAAAACAATTTTTTCTAATTTTAATAAGAAACAGTTTATTATATAACTTTCTCTACTGCAAAAAATATATACATAAAAACTTCTAATTTAAATTAATTTTCCTAACAGTGTTCACATGACCAAAACTGTTATAGTCTAAATCAAATTGTTAAATTTCTTAAAATGTGGATTGCCAAAAATTTTAGCTGTTTTGATATTTCTTTAAGTTATTGTAATAATTTTACAATTACCAAATATTTTTTACACAATGTATCTTAAAATAGATAAAGATAAGATAATACAGACAAAGAAAGATGAAAAGATTTCGAAGCATCCTTTTTTATAAAATAACCGTTTATTTTACTTGCTTTGCATGTGATGCTGCCATTTCATCTGCTACTTATTTAAAATTTCTCATTGTTCTATGTCTTAAAATTAGAAATTGTAGTTAATGAGCTAAAACTGCAATAGAATATTACAGTACAAGTGAAAAAATTGACAGTTTCACTCCAGGGTTCGTACACATTTCCTTACATGAAAATTAAGGACTTTTAAGGACCATCAATGAAAAAATTAAGGACCTATCAGCAAACAAAAAAACGAATAGAATAAAACAATTATCCATACAACCGACTTCATGCTTGTAATTTCACTTTAAGAAACTAACAGAAGTGTGTATTATGCACTATTATTAAATTCAAGTTAATACTTACCATAAAACAATTTTGAAAATTAAACTAACTCCCTACAAGTTATGAAGTAGATAACATTAAATTAGGAACATAATTTCTTGAAAAACATGTATAAGTGTATTTTACACTAATAACAGTCACAGATATTTTAGAGATTTATATGATTATTATTTAACTTATTTGATATTTATTTAAACACAGTCAACTACTATTATAATCACAACATAAGAATATTTTGCAGATTAAAATAGCAGATTTGTTAACATACAATTTATTTCCTTGGTTTTTTGAAAGATACTAGAATAATAAACTGTACAATAAAAGATACAAAACATTTATGCTTTTTTTAAATCTGAAATTTTTTCAGCTATTTTAACATCTAATTTATTTATGTCTATTTCCTTTTCTTTAACTATTCTTCTAAGTTCATTTGCTTTGATAAACAAATCAATGTTCCTGCTGGTCTCGGCTTCATATGCTAAAGCATCTACTTTTTCATTAATATCTTTAATGTCCCTTTGAAGAAAATTTTTCTTCTACTCCATATAATCAATTTCTTTCTCAATAATATTTCTTGCCCTCTTTGAATTTTCAGATTTAGTTAAAGATTTTTGTTCTTCTAAATACTGCATATATTTAGACCTTGCAGAAGCTGCTGCTGATCTCATTTCTTTATTAATTTTGATATTAAGAATACCTCCAAAAAATTTTATGCAATCAAATACTGTGCATTGAAAAATGTATGATGAGTCACTTAAATTTTCAATTTCAATTGCTTTATTTACAGAGAAGCCCCTTCCCACAGAGGCCTGTCCATGTGACAAGATAAGAATCATATTCACCATTTTCCATACTTTTTCGAATAGTGAAAATCATGAAAATAAGAAGTGAGAAATGTGTCAAGAGAAAGATTTTGAGGATCAAAAGTAGAAAATTCATGTAAATTTGTCTTAACTACTTTGTCTAGAAACTCTCCAAACTGCAGCAGAATTTCATCACAAACATCTGGTAAAACACGTTTATTCCGCATTAATACCGTTAGAACTATTTTCATTTTGTTCTGGGCTTTTTTTGGACTTTTAACCATCAATCGTGGGTCTATACAAGATGCATTTCGAATAAGAGAATAATTTATTGGACATTTAGACATTAAGTGTTGTACATTGTTAAGACACATTGTTGACCTTGTTTCAATGCAAAACTTTCATCTTGTGAAATGTACTTCTTGCGGCATTTATCATTCATTAACTGCTGAGCCATGAATCCCAAATAAACTTTACTTTTATCATTATAACAATTTGGATCATTAAAATTAAATTTATAAAGATTTTCTGCTTTAGTTTTTTTGAATATTCGTAGTGGTTGGCAAAATTTTAAAGTGCTGTCATTTACAAGTTTTAAGATATCTTCAGCAAAAAAGGGAATAAGTGGTTTATCGCTTTGATAATATTGAAGGAAAGGCAATAATATTTTCGACAGTGAGAGAAAAAAAATTTAATTTTATAAGAAATGTTTTATCTTTAGTTGCCTCCAAAATATTTGAGAAGGATTTCGAATGAATTTTTTTTAAACTTCCCCATTTCAACTTTTTTAACGTACAGTAGCAAGTCATCCCATACTTGAATGGCTCTTTCAACTGCTGGGACATTTTGCAACCATTGGTAAAAGCAGAACTTCACAGGAAGCTTTTTTAAGCCAGATATACTTAAAAAATCTTCAAGTCTTGCAGGAGAATCTTTAAAAATCCAATATAAGGAGGATAAGAATGATGGAATGTCCCAGCCAGTGGATGACATCCCATGCTTGAAAGCACATGTCCCTAATGCCAAGCGTTGAATGTTATATTCCTTTGTCAAGTCCTATTGCAAAAGATCATAAAATTTCCAGTTTACTGCAGGACCATCCATCGATATTTGTAAGAGTTTTGACAAGTCTAGTTTTTCAACACATTCATAAAATTTGGATAAAATAATTTCACTTGTTGCATGCCCTATAAATGCAGAAGTAAGGTACTGAGTTCTGACCTTATTTTCGTATTGCCAGTACCTCACATGAATATCTAGTTGCTTCTTTTGATTTGTCAGATTAAGAGTATCATCAAATAGTATTGTAAAAAAGTCAGCATTTTTATAATGCTTTAGTGAACAAAGTTTTAAAAATAAGGGCCGAAGGCCAAAATAACAGATATAAGCACATTTCTTTTCACCACATGAAACTATTTTGCAATGGAAACAATCCAGGGAACATTTTAGTGAATAACGGCCCAATATCATTGCACGATTTAAAAGAATAGTGGCTTTTGATGCACTTAAAAGCCCACAGTATTTCTGCATCTGTAACTTCAGATTTCAAAAGAAAAGAATTGATTTTATTATTTTCTACACTTATTGATTTTGAATTAGCAGTTGCATCTTTTCCTGAAGTAAATGGTTTTTCTAATTCATGATACTGTTAGACGAAACTCTGCAGTTGAGAAGGGAGAGATGTTTTGCACCTAAAAGGGGCATTACATGCAAGGCATTAGTAAAATTAAGTATCGCATATATATATAATGTATATATATATAATAAGAAATCTATATATATAATAAGAAATGTATACTGAAAATATATACATACAGTACAAAGTCCGAGATCTGGACATCCAATATCTGAAATGATCTAAAATCCGGACCTTAAAGCCACCACCAATTTTTTAGGGCTTTTTTGAAGGGAAGGGGTATGCTTTACGCATGGGCATTAGATTTTTTTCCTCATTGTAAAAAAACATGCCAGAAATCTCGATTCTTAATCTCAGTTTGGCACTAAATAAAATATCTCATTATTGACGAAATAATTATTTTAGCATAAATTTGTGTGATTAGTAACTTGACTCCATAGCTGCGTATCTGCTTGGCATAATCTCAAACCGAAACATTTGTTAATTTTACAACCAACTAATATTTTATATCCTTGATGCCGAAATCGCGAATCATTATTTATTGTATTTTGCTTTCATCACCGCATGTTTATCAACGGATGACAACTTGAGTGATGACTCATGCAGCGACACCAAATAACAGAGTATTATCCAATTACAGATTTAAGTTTAATGCGCTAAAAAGTTGACAAGGGTAGATTTAACAGAAATTTTTTTCCTTATGCTAAAAATAGATTTTGTTAATGATACTCATAGGACAAACAATTATATTTAGTGCTATTTGAATTAAGAATAACTGATTTGTTAGTCACATAAAGCCAGAACCAGCGCCAGAGCTCGCATGGCCGCACCAGATGGCAGAATTTAAGGAAGTAAAACAGACGTTTTTCATTGCAATGACAATGCCCCAATCATCAATCGATTAACGGATGGCGAAATCTGTAGTATGGTTCTAAATCCAGAAAATACAGCTACCCATAGTGAAGAAAGTAACAGAGAGGTTACTGAAAGAGAAAAAATTTTGATTGACAAGTTATTCGGAATTCTCGACATAGCAATTACAGGACTTGAACAATGGAACTTAATAAGTGAACAAGAAATTATATGTCTATAGTATTAGTCTAAAGTATTAGCAGAGAAAACAAATCAAACAACTCACATTGAAAGAAATGTTTAATAAAGTAAACATATAAATATTAAGCTCTTTTCTTTGTAAATTTTGATGCCCTTTAAATCATAAATGCTTCATTATTTCATAAATCACAATTCATATTTTCAATTTTATAATTTCTGCATGCCATTTTAGTAGATTTAAAATGATCTTAATATCCAGAAAAATCTCAAATCTGGAATCGCCGAAGTCCCGAACGAGTCCACACCTTGGACTTTGTACTGTATAAATATATATATATATATATAATATATATATATATATATATATAATACGGAATGTATATTTTCAGTTAAACTTCTACCCAATAACTTTAGTAATTCATGAAAGTTAATTTTGCGTCTAGCTAATTCAGGAAAATTAGTTTCAATTAGTTGTTTTCAGCTTTAAAAATATTAAAAATTTTTTAATTAGTTAGTTGTTTTCAACTAATAATTGTATCGCCATTAGCAAAAATAATGCATTAAAATCAACAGCATAGGATTAAACCAAATAATTGTCTATTGAAGCTTCAAAACATATTTCCGAACTTCACTTTTCCTTGGCTAGCAATACCGAATTTGCTCTTGGCGACATAAAACCGAAATGGAGCCAACAGATTTCCCGCGAAATCAATAACAGACCCTCTGCAGAAATAAACTCATAATCCTGATATCCCATACATATATATATGTGCAAAAGAGAATAAACTCCGTAGAAGGTGATAAAAATTAATTTATGGCTTAATTGAAACAAACACAGAAATTAAGCTTAAGCAAAATCGTTTGTAAAAAAACAAATTGAAATGATAAAACGAAACTTAATTTTCATGTGAAATTTTCAGCGCTCTGACTCTCCCATTCTAGAAATTTCAACTTTGTTTCAGACAAAGACCGCATTTAGCTTTAAAGGATTTGCCATCCATCAATATCCAGTCTTTGTAGTCAGCTTGATGAAGGCCACAGCTTGATTGAAAATGCACTTTCCAGGCATCTCGTTCCTATTGGCGTCGGAAGGGTTGTGGCCTTCCAGGTTGGGATTGTTCTAATTTTGGTAAATATTTTCAGAATCCCCCTCCTTTTTTTATTTTCTCGAGCACCTTCATCATCATTTTCGCTTCTTAAAAAACTTGCAGCTTCACGCTTTCATCACAATCTGCCTAAATTTATGGATAAAACCTGTTTCGAAAGATTGGGTGAATAGCCAATCAGACACCGATACTTTCATTCTAGGCTAGGTAATTAATTTTTTTTTATCGTTTGCAACGCAAATCCGCCAACAGATTGGTTAAGAGTCCGTGTAATTTTAATTTCATATTCATGAGAAATCGCAATTCACACTTAGAATGGCAATCATTAGAAATGATAAGAAATGTCAAAATGAGCAAAATTAAGGACCGTTTATTCATTTTGGCCAAAATTAAGGACTTTTAAGGACCAAAAATCATTTTTGAAAAAATTAAGGACTTTTAAGGACCGTACAAACCCTGTCACTCCTATGTGTGTCAGATTTGCGCAATGCTTATGGGAACCCACAAAATTTTCACAAATATTATGGGGTCCTGGAGTTGCAAAACAAATCTCAGTGACAAAAAGGGATCACAAGTGAAAAAAGTTTAAGAAGCCCTGGTCTAAATAATGGAACCAAAAGTCTATGGGCAATCATTCATGAGATATATATTTATGCATTCCTTTTCAAAGCCTCTTATATGTGTGTGTATAAAGAAGAGTTTAGAAATTTCAAAATTAAGATTATTACTTATTCAAGTAGTGTGGTTAAGTCATGATATATATATATACACACAAAATTATAAATAAAGGGAATACTCCTCTTAAAATTCGCATATATATACACACACACATACTGAATATAAGACAGATTACAATAAAAGAAATAACCTTTTTAATAGCTTGGACTACTTCCACGACTTCCAATGGAGCTCCATTTAAATCAACAGGAAATTCAAGAGGAGCCCTCTATAATTAATGAAAAAAATGGTACTATATTATAAGAAAAATTTACTCTTTCAAAAATTAAAACAGTTATTAAAAAGAGAATTGCTAGCATAGGATTTTACCTGAGGCTCAATTATTTCTATTTCCATATTCAGTTAAATTGCAGCATTTGTCAATCCAGTGACAATAAAACAAATACAGAACTTTAAACACAGGAATTTTACCTCCCTAAATAAAAAAAAAGTACAAAAGTGAATGACAAACTACAAATGTGAATCACCGTACAACAATAATAGAACTTAATCAGGTATTTCAAAATTAAAATAAAAATTTGATAAAAATCTTTAAACTTGTAAAAACTCAATAAAATAAAAAAAGACATTTCAACAAATAAACAAATCTATTTTAATATGTGCAGCTGAAGTTCCTTAAACAAAAAGTGCTTCAACTTCTTTTTAAAAACTAAAATAAAAAAAAAGGGGATATTTAAAAACAATTTCTACTAATTAATTTTAAACACACTCCATACTAAATTAGATCAAATATAGGAAACGATTGTTAACACGAATCCCAATTAATAAAAAAATCAAGAGTTCATGTTAAAAAAAGTTTTTGTTAACTGGATACTCAAATTTTATTTTTGAAAGTTTTTCTATGCATTAACAATTTACAGTACACAGATACAAATGTACTACAGTATATTATGCACATCATCATAGAAAACTTTACAGTACTATATTAATTACTTTACTGTAAGTTGAAAAATGTACTCGTAGATAATTTTATGGTGAAAAATTTCTGTATTTTTCACCATAAAATTTCTGTTTATTGCACAATTGCAGATGGAATTCATGGCGAATCTACAAATGGCTTCCAAAAAACTAGCAGGCCATTTGGATGCTGTAGCAAAACATTTTCCAGAGTTCAAGGCATGTAACACTTCTTGGTGAGTGGGCAAAATACTACTATCCCTCTCACTTTCTTCTGATGACGTTTCTTGCCCATCAAACTCAACTGAATAGTATTGGTTAAGTTCAGATTATGTATGTTATAGGCTGTTCACCAGTCCAATGTTATAAGAACATACATATTCTGAGCCACTATTCATCTATTAAAACGAAGAAGCCAGTTATGAAATGATGAGCTGTCGATCCAAACTTTCTTGTCGTGAGAGTACATGCAATGTAAAATACTACTTATGTTCTTAAAACAACATATTTCTTGGACTTAACTGTTACCCAAGAACAGTGTTAATCAATGCTGTTTTCATTACATACAAGGACAATAGTTAAAACGTTTAGTGTGTGCTCCACAATGGCACTTACCACCTTTTATTCTGAGGATACAATTCAGCGAAAGATAATAAAAATGTCCAGTTTCAACAATATTGTAGACATCACATGAGACATACTTTTCTTCACTTAGTCAAATTCATGCAACAAGGTGTTTGCTCCTTCTACATCAACTTTATTTGCTTTATCACAAATCACTAATGATGACATTGAGTGTTCTTTTGGAACCGGTGCAGCCAACCAGTGGAACAAATGGAATCTTGAATGACTAAATTCTTTGCAATCCTATTTGCTTTTGACTAAATTATACTAACTGATTCAGAAAGTAAGTGTCATTTGCTCATATCTCCCACAAGTCCCTCAGCGCAAAATTTGTGCATACGTGGTTACATCATTCAACTCAAGAACGAATTACCATAGCCATTTTGTTTTTTATGCCAATATTTTAAATCACTGTTTGTCAGTAATCACGTTTAAAACAATTGATCGGCCAATCAGTTGTGAAATAAGAGCCATTATCAAGTTTTGGAACGTGAGAAATGTTCAACCTTCTGAAATTTATTGTCAGAAAAGCAAAACTTACAGAGAGAACATGATGAGTGTAGGTATAGTGCGGAAGTGGGTTAGGATGTTTAATGAAGGAAGAGAAAATGTCCACGACAAGAAGTGCAGTGGACATCCGTTTCTGAAAAGAACTGGAAAAGAAACTTTCCAAAAACTGGTGCTCAGCATCTATGAAAAAGTTTGTTCCAAAAGGTGATTCAGGATTTCTGATTTGTCAATGCATTTTCAAAACATTTAATGATTTTTATAACATGAAATCGTAACTAAACATCTGCACAACAAAAAATTGTGTTTACGATGGGTGCCGAAAACTCTAACGGACATTCAAAAACAAAAATGCATGAGAGCATGCTTGAAATTTTTGCAGAAAGAAATTCTTTTTTTTTTAAAAGGATTCTCACAGGTGATGAAACATGGATTTATTACAAGACATTTGAAACAAAACGACAGTCACTTGAATGGTAACATATTGGTTTCCTGAAATCCAAGAAAGCAAATCTATAAAAGAATCTCTTTAAAAAAAAAAAAAAAAAAAAAAAAAAAAAAATGTGCACCATGTTTTGAGACTGCAATTAATTCTGCTAGCGTATTGGAAAGAACGAGATTCTACTGACCTCTGGTATTGTGTTTGAGCATGACAATGTGCGACCACATACTGCATGCGTAACGATGAAGCTGCTTGATTCATTTCATTGGGAACAATTCTGTCACCCTCCTTAAAGTCCAGACCTAGCTCCATCCAACTTTCATTTATTTTTCTTACCTTACGAAATTTTTTGCCAGCAAGCACTTTGCAAGTGATGATGAGATCAAGTTAAATGTCCAAAACTATTTCGGGTCTCAGGTAGGTGAACTCTACAAACTGGATTTGTTGCTATTAGTGCCAAAATATGACAGGTCTTAATTCGCATGATGAATATGCCAAAAAGTAGTTTGAAGTATGTATAGAGTTTTCGGTAATAAAATACAAATGAACACAAATTGCTCATCTATTTTAATATCTAAATGGTACTTACTGGATAAGCCTTATAGGTACACTTAAAGGAACACTGGAAGCATGCATATGTTTCAACTATTCAAGAAGTAAAGCTTTAATGTATTCATACTTAACAATACAAAGTTGCTTAGATTTGTTTCCAGAATCCAATTAAGTAGCATTAAGATCTAACATTAGTCATACCTACTAAATTTTAAAGAATAAAAAAGCACATTTTAATACAGAATTGCATTTATTGATTGGAACTCGCTGTTGACATGAGTGAAGATCACTGTTGATGCAAATGAAACTTATTGCTGATGTGAAAATTGCAACTTTTGAGCAATGTTACTCTGTGCTGGCTATTTTTTAAAGAACACAGTGTATACTGTGAGGTTTTCAATTAAACTTTTCTGAAAGTAGCTCTTGCAGAAACATAACAAGGAAAAAATATGAAAAACTTTCACTGTTCATGTTAAATGAAAAATCTAATAATGCAATGAACTAAAAAAACAGTTCATAATTTGTGTTAATTGATTAAACTTCCTATCAGATCATGTACATTATTGCCAGGACTAAAATTTTGTTCATGTTAATAAAATGTTTGCCTTAAGTTTATGTTAAAAAGGGGGTTAAGGAGGGTGAGTACACAGTCAACTTTACAGACCTGATTAATTAAGGCTTAATTTCAAATATGGGTATTTATGTATTGGTCAAATTGTGTACTTATGTAAATAATATTTGTAAAATTATATGAAAATTATGGTATCTCTTGCATAATGTAACATGAAAGGAATCAAAACTATGAAGTTCCACCTGTAAAACAAGATTACAGAAGCATGACAATTTAACATCAAGTTGAACTGCCAAGATGGCAATGGTTTTGGTGACTAATTTTTGTCGCTTGGCCAGGTGTCTAAAACTGCAGTTGGCTCAGTGCATATGTAAATGTAACTGCATATGACTTCCAGCAATGTGGAGAAATCAAAGGTACTGGAAATTTTTTGGCAGTCTGGGGAAAACTATATAAGCCCGGAGAGAATACCAGTTCTCAGTCTTTAGTTCAGAGTTGATTTCGGAGTACTAAGAGATCTCCGTGAGAGCTTTGCTCTTTAGATGCATCCTGCATTACATTGTGTTTAATGTACTCAGCAGTTTGGAGTGGTATCTACTGATTGTGATTTGTCATATTGAGAAGATCTGTATGAGTACTTTTGTGAAAAGTTCCAGTATTGTAGAGTTTTTCTTTTAAGAAAATAAAATTTATCAAGTTATCATTGGTTCCATGTGCATCCAATCCATTACAAACCTGTATACATGTAACAGTATTTTCCTGTCAAAATGCAAGTCACTATGAAAGTCGGAGAAGATCTTACCACACGTATGCCAATCATTCCAACAGAAATTTAAAGCTAAAAATGGCAAAACCTTTAGGTACCCCATTATTATTATGGTTCCCATTTTGTAAACTCAAGCTGGCACCAGTATTACAATCAGGTTCAGGTTTACTTCTCACATATATTTTGTGGTCATTGTATTTCTGCGCCTAGTTTTAATATGATATCAGGAACATTTTCTCATTCTAGGAATTTCCACGTCACGAACTGTGAACTCATGATGATACCGAATTGTGCCTCACTGATTTTTATTCCACCACTTAGCAGAACATCACAGTCTAACACTTAAAGTACAAAGAGTTAGTGTTGGATCAACAAAATGAAATTTATGGTGCACAATAAAATATCTCTAACCTGCATCTTTCAGTTTCTTTGCTTATATGCTCACCAACAATAGAAATAAATTGTTGATCCCTCTTGTGTACGATTGACTACTTTTGTCATGAGGGTGATTGCCTCTCTACCCGAACCTCTACTGGAGCAGAAAATGTTTCACCAGTTTCTTGGCATAACCCACCAAATATCCAGTATTGTGGAAGTACCTTGCAGGCTTTGTTTTTGCTATATACAAAGAGATTTTTGCTTATGTCCACAATGTTTTCTGGAACATCTCTTTTTTTTTTTATTAGGTTGTCAGATTAGACATAGAAAATGCATCTCTCTCATAAAACTCTTCCAGCCCATAGTTATGTTTTTCTATAGGCTGAGTTGTTTCTTCTACCAATTCAATAACATCATTTCCTCTGCCCAACAGTAAATAAATCACTGCCCTGAACAAATAGCGTTCTGAAATCAGAGAATCAGTAGTAAAAAAGTATGCTTTTTCTTCGCTGAAACTTTTAATGCTGCACTTTCAAATACTTTCATTGATATACAGTTTTATTTAATGGTCATTTTCACATATACGAACACAATTTCAAATGTGTCTTTCTTGAGAGAATGATATAGCATCTTCATCATTTCTAAGCAAATCGAACATTTTAAATATTAAAAAAAAAA